TGAATTTCTGAACACTCGGTTCATTAATTAATTGCGAACACACAGCCCACATTAAAACACATGGCTCAAACACTGATTTGTCGAACACACAGCCCGAATTCGAAAGTGAACACCCCTTCCCTCAGGAAAAGAAACAGAGAAAACTGAGTCTGGTTCGCAAACCGAGACAAAGGTCGATCTTTGATCGGGCAAGTGGGGGTGCTCACGAAGTGACCTTCCCCAATCGTACCCAAGTTCTTGAGCCAAGGCAACTTTGGTGATGACGGACACGTGGCCTTAGGCAAATGAGTCAGGGTTTCCTAAATTTCCCAAAAATAAAATATTTAGGTGGCGACTCTGTATCTGGCAAAGAAGTCCATGTTTGGCACTTCTTTCAAAATCTGTTTTCTCAAAACGATTTTCCGGATTTGGACTCTTTGGTTCAGATTTAGAACTGTGACAAATTGAGAGTCCGAACTGTAGTGAGCCCAATATCGAACGGAACGGGGGACTCGTTCCTCCCGGGGCGTTCGGGGACGTCTACAAATACATGCTAGCAAGACATGCTACTTTGATGGGCCACAAATGGGATTACACTACACATACTAGATGCATGCACAAGGTGACCAAATTAGCCATAGACAGACTTAAGGCAGGTCCTAAAAGTCACAAAAAAGTGCCTGAACCAAGCCTCAAAAGTAAAGGGATACATGCTCCTTTGATAGGCCAAAAATGCAAGGAAAAAAAACCAAAAGAGAGGGGGTCACCCCCCTCTGGTTTTAGGCCTCAAAACCACATGCCTACCATTAAAAATCCACTAGATTTCAGTGGCTAAAAGGCCAAACAAAGACTAGCTCAAAGGCCTTAAGGCATGGCTCAAAACAAGGCTAAACAAGGCATGCAAGAGGGTAGGAGACCCTCAGCACCGAAGAGGCCTTAAACAAATATGTTAAGTACTCAAAAATAAATCTTTTTTCAATTGAAAGTTAACCCATTTGAAGCATGCAAATATGGCTAAGAGTGTAATCAAAATAGAGCTTAAAAAAAGGAAAAAGAGGGTTACCCTTGAAGCACTGCAAAACCAGCAGCTTTCCTGAGCCAAAACCAAGGTAAGAGTGTTTGGCTAAGAGATTGCAGTGCAAAAGTGAAGGAATAACACTCTTTAAGGCACAAAATATAGAGGGAGAGAAGAATATAGAGATGAAGATGTATGTATATGCCCTAAGCCAACTTCAGAACCTGAGACAAGAGAGAGAGCCTTTCTTCTTAAAGAAAAACAAGCACCATGCTTGTTGAAGAAGTTTGAAGCTAGATGCAATCCCTCCATACACATGTATGGAGGATGGAATCTGTGCGCTCTAGCTGGCACAGCTGGCATCCACAACACCTGTATAATATGCATGAAGGCCGCCGACCAGTTAAAGTGGTCAGCCAGCCACTTTTTCTGGTTGGCCAGCTAGTTTTTCTGGTCGGCAGGAAAATTCTGCTTTCCAAGTCCAACTTTAAATGGCCATAACTCCTTCATATGGACCCCTTTTCAGATCATTATTTTGTCTAAGTTGAAGCCCCGGACGTAAGCTTTCCAATGGTGGAAGCCTTGCATCAAAATGCCAACTGTGAAAAAAGTTATTCCTGTTTTGGTGAAGCCGCGCAGTTTTGGTCCTACCCAAATTCATGCCGAACTTCTCCCAAACTAGTTTTCTTCTCTCCTTTCCTCTTTTCTTCAACTCTAAACCCCTAAATAAAGTGTTTTGAAAGATTTTTCAAAGATTTCATCTCTGTTTCATTCATTTCCACTTTGTCCTTGCTCGGTTTACCGAAAAGCGTGACATTTAACAAAATGCGAGTGTCGGAACATCGTAGAAACTTTATTTTCAAAACATTTCGAAAGAGAGGGTTTTAAGGTCTAAAATCTTTTGATCAAGATTGTTTTGGTCCAAAAGGGGTATGAAGTTGACATTTGTCTCTCTCATTGCCGAAGAAACTGAACTTTTGCCCTGCACACATTTCTCCACCAAATAAACCATCAGTAGTGCCCAAGTCTTAAGGGCGGTCAAAAATGGGGTGTCTACACTGTAGTGGCCTGGGGTTCCAGGGCTGATCCATTCTATTCTCTCGGGTTGGGACACAAGGTTGTCCCAGGTGTCGTTGCCTTGTTGGTGTGGTGTAGGGCCTTGGAGTGTCTTGGGCTGGCTGTGAGATGGCAGCCTAGACTTTTAGCCTTGGGCAGGTCGTGCCTGCGATGATGGGGTGCATGGCAGCAATGTGTTGGTCTGGAGGTAGCGCTCGAGATGGGCTGTCGCGACCAAATGCATGCTTTAGGTCTGTTGGTTAGGAGAAAAGTGTGTGGGCCACGAGGGGCCATGAGCGGGGTCCCGGTGTGGCAGGTCGCACATGCGGTAGAGAGGGTCATGCCCGCGACCAGTGTAGGTGGCTGATCGCGTCTGTAGTCTATTCCATTGTGCTCACGATGAGCTGTGTATATAAGTCCACAGTGTGATGAAAAAGTCACTTTCCTTTTTTCTTTTTTTTCTCTTTTTCTTTTTCTTCTTCTTCTTCTTCTTCTTCTTCTTCTTCTCTCTCTCTCTCTCTCTCTCTCTGCCATTTTTGGGTTCCTTCGACTTAAGAGCTTAGGTTTCATCTAGCTACACCCATTTTCTGCTCGTAATACCATAGACCAAAACATAGAGGGTGGTGAGGGCATCGTTTTTGATATGAGCAGATTGTGGTTTTGTCGCCGTTGAATTTTCAGCTTTTCTCCTTTTCGCTTTAAGAGGTAGGGATTCTAGAGTCTCTTTTCAATACCTCGCTATAGATACACTTGTGATAATTTTTATGGCATTTAAAAACATAGTTCTATAGTTGATTTTGTTAAAAAGCATACGGGTTGATTCAGGTTTAAATTGGTAGGTTTATGGATTACGCTTATAGAAGCATGTTTAGGATATAGGGTTGGAACAGTTTGGTATTTCATTCATAAATTTTGGAATGTTAATGAAAAGCTTAACATTGAATTGAAGTTGGGTTGTGTTTGGTTATTTACACATTTGGGGTTTTGGATTAATGTTATTGGATGTCGGCAAGTGTTGTGCATGTTGGAATTTGGAGTAGTGAGGGTTTGTTTTCAAAACAAATTGTGATTAATTACCTGTTATATAAAACTTGAGAGTTTGGAATGGACTGGAATATGGAAATACCTGTGGGTGTATTTATTGTTTTGATTATGTATTTGGCGTCTAGAGTTTTGTCCTTAGCTATCAGTGGAGAATGGTATTGTTTGTTGATTAGTAGATGCCACGTGTAGGGTTTGCATGTTAGATTATGTGATAATCTTTGTTGGCGGACATTGTGAATAGACAATTCCACTTATGTGTTATCGTGGAGTATGTTGTTAGATGGAAATGTGAAATATTGTGAAATACTGTTATTCTTATGGGATCGTTGTTGGATAGCTAGTTTTTGTCACGCCCCAAACCCGCCCCTAGAAGTTTGGGCATGACCACTTCAGAAACGGACACTTAATCTGTTTTATATCTATATATATGGGGCCTGAATGGAAGCACTAAATATTAAAATTTGACACTGGAAACAAACTCCATCGAGCTACTACTATCATGCCAGGATCACAAACTTTTAACAAACAAATAAAATCTAAAACATACACTTGAACATCGGTTATATACATACATATATACAGACCCAGCCCTATTATTGGGCATATACAAAAACATTAGAGCTATATACATCACTCTTAGATAGACATTCAAAAAGCAAGCCAACATCTTATCAGCTTAACAAAATCAATGACTGTGTATAGTGCCTGGACACACGAAGGTTGACAAAAGAAGGCAGCGTCATGGCTAGGACTGACCATCTGATTGGTGACCTACAGAAATAGACATAACAGAGAGTGAGCCGGACTCAGTGAATAGTAATACATAAATAAAACGATGCTTAACTTGAAACATAACACATGGCAATGCATATAAAGATGTAGAGTTCACATAGTTAGTCTGATTCTGTGCTAAGTACATAATGGCCTTAGGTTCAATCTTGCAACATAAACATGGTGGCTGTAAGCCCTTAAAAAGTTGGCATTAAGCCCTGAAAAGTTGGCATGAAGCCCTTGAAACAAAGAACTTGTAACATCCTTGAACTTGTAACAGACTTAAACTTGTAACATACACTTGAAACATACCTGAATATACTTGAACTTGTAACATACTGGAAACATGCCTAAAACATACTTGAACATCATTCATTAATTCGAACGGAACATATCATAACTAGAGCATTTCTTGTTGTATCATGTCATTATCGTACGCTTAACAATGAGAGACTAATTCACATTCTCATGAGGGTCACACAATGATTCTAAACTTTGCACTTATAACGTAGATTCTGAATAACTTCCAATTTATAAGCATCATAGCAAAATAACTTCAATTCATATGGATGCACATAGCTACTCTTATATTTACTTAGAATCTATCATTCAAGAATGAACATAAGTTCTTTCAGGTAAATGACTTACTTTACGTGCTCTATTAATCAATAGCATACACCTTTGTTTAATCATTCTTATATGTTAACATAGTTTGCCTTGCCTTGTAATTAACAAAGTCCTAATGGTAACCGTTACATCATTCCCATGAGTTGACATAATTAACGTAAAGTTAACAGGACATTCCTGATAATTAGTAACGAAAAGTAAGCACATTTTCATTAGATTACAGATGACTTTATCGGTTTCACAATTTCACAGTTCGGCCCTTGGCCCAAGAGGTTCTCACATTCACAATAGCCTTTGGGTTTCATAGAGTCACAACTTATCACATCGGCCTTCGGCCCTTTGGATTCACAAGTTCACAAGTTTGGCCCTTGGCCTCATAGTTTCATAAGTCACAAGTCGGCCCTTGGCCACATAGGTTTGATCTTCACAAATATTCATAATTTCACAAATCTTTTGATGTTCCCATAATTTCACAATGTTTCTCACATAGCATACATAACTTCACAACTTCTTTGATGTTTCCATGAGTTCACAATGTTTCTCACATAGCATACATAGCATACATGTCAACATAATTCTTACGACGAAGATCATAACGTCAATAATAATAATTATTAACGGTTAAAGGCACATCGAAGTACTACTACTCACAGCGTTCAGGTGCTTGGTCCACCCCTGTAGCTGACCCTACACAATTCACATAATTCAAACATCATTTATCATAGTACATCACCATTCAAGTCAGCATTATTCAACACAACATAACTTCAACAAAAGTCAACATTTAGTTCATCAACACCATTTGTAATTTAACATAATTCGAAATAAATCCTTGAATCCCATTTCAACATTCCAAAACCAAGTTCATAATAATTTTCCCTTCACATGCTAGCATGAATTCCAATATTCATAACAAAGTTCATTCGCAAATTTTAAACATAATTTTCAAACATTTCCAAATTCTAATTAAACTTGAACACATATAATTCAATACCTCAATTTCATTATTCTACTTTCAATTTGGGCCAAATCATTGAGTATCATCATTAATCAACCTAGGGTTTCAAGAAAAATGAGGATTTTTAACAAAAATTCACACTTCTTAAATCACCACTTTTAATTCTAATTTTCCCAATGATTCTACATCTAGGATTCACAATTCATCATTTTAACCCACCAATTTAACTTCCAACATCTCAAACTCTAAATCCCCAAATCTCATAATATGCCCTAGATGATAAAAATGAAGATTTTTGCATTAATATAATGAAGTTACCATAAATCTATCTATAGATGTAAGTATTGAGGAGATCTAGAACCCCTACCTCGAAGAACAAACAAAGGAGCGAGCTTGGATGAGATTCCACCTAAATTTTGAAATTCAATCGGTTGAAAATGTTGACCCTTTCTTGTTCTCCATCCTTGATACAAGATCTATGGAGGATTTGTTGATAAAAGTGGAGGAAATCAAGGTTTTGGAAGCTAGGGTTTCGGACATGGAAGAGGGGAGAAGAAGAGAGGAAAAGAAATTGCAAGAAATGGTCCAAAAATCCCGTTTTTAGAGCTGCTGTCCCGCACAGACCGCACGTGCGGCGCTATTCCCCGCACGTGCGGCTCCGCTTCCAGCACAGATGTGTAAACTTCAAACGGGTATAACTTTCTCATCGGGACTCCGTTCTAGGTCGTTCTTGTGTCCAAATCGAAGCCCCGGAAATAAGCTTTCCAATGGTTCTAACCTCACATTCAAATTCCAAGTGTGGAAAAAGAAAAAGACAAATGAATGACGGCTGATCGTAGGTTAACTATTCGAATTAAATTCGTTGGTCCAATCTTACTTTACCATCATACCACCACCTCAAACAATACCCCAAAATAAGGTAAGAACATTCCAAATACACTATTAAGAATGCCAAAAATGAGCCCATGCTCGAGCGGAGGGTAAAACAATTTCAAGCTGATACAATAAAGGTCGCCATAACTCAGCAGATAATTCTTTAATTCCGATAGATATAGTTGAATTAAAACACATTAACCCCTAATTAAATAAGGATGACTTTCTATACGCATTTTGGGGTCATTACAGTTTTGATGATTAATGGCTTATGTGGTATTTTGGAAATGTCTTAATATAAAGGAAAACCCGTTGTTGAACGGTAGTGTGCAAAGCACATTTTAAAAGAAATGGGTTAAGGTAATTAGCCGATAGTGGTCTTTGTTGCAGCAATTGGATTATGTATATGTATTACACTTGTACGGTCTCTGTAATTTAGCATGTCGTGCTATTATTTGTATATTGTTTGAGAGGTCCGTTTCTCTCTAATTAAGCCGGTAAAGCATGGCACGTTGACAAAGGTTTTCTCTCCCTACCGGTTTGCGTCCGGTAAAGTATGAAATGAGGTCCGTTTCTCTCCAGGTAAGGCCAGTAAAGTGTGGCGCATTGACAAATGTTTCCTCTCACTCGAGTTAAAAGAAGAATGGGGTTTTGTAATATTTTTGGAAGTAAAATAAGAATTAAAAAGAGATGAAGTGTTTTTATACAGCGTTGTGTCAATAGGATGTTTTTGAAAGAAAAAAAGAAAAAAGAAATCTATATGAGTGTACCTTTGGATATTAACTACCATATTACTTATATGGTATATTTTGGTGCATGCATGATCATTTCTAGCTATATGTTGTGATTGGTTAGGATCTTTGGGATGTCTACTGGGCTTAGTGCTCATCCCACGTCCTGATAAATTTTTCAAGTACACGGCTGGAAGATTGTTCAGAGCTTGAAGTCTTTTATATTGTTTGTCATGGGGCCTTTTTATCTATTGGCCGAGTGCCATGTATTGTATAAGAATAAATTCTTTTTCTTTATTGTTATCCAATGCAAGCCTCAGGACATTATATCATGTTTTATCTATGCGTCATCATTATTTTCATGAGAGAATGTTATTAATTATTCTTCTTTTATGTTCTTAAATGGATGAAATTATTGAAACTGATAACAATATAAAGGATTTGATAATAGATTTGAGTAATAAAAATCGGGGTGTTACAAACCCCTTTCATCTGCCCTCTCAAATTCTTTTGTTTAACGCCTCTGCACATTTTTCTTGCTCTTGAAGCAACAGCTATTAGAGTTAATCAAGTACATTGAGTGAACACTAAACAATTGCTTGGATTTTCTGTTGCAGTAATAGGGTCACAACCTTCCACCAAGTTAATTACATGGCGTTGTGGTTGTTTGGTATTAGTAATTACCAACTTGTGTAGCGATTGTATAATGTGATTAGTTACGTAATTAGGAATTTTAATCAGATGTGTCATTGTGCAAGTTATCATTAATATTATAATATAAAATTTTTAGTTATACATAATCTATCAAAATCAACTTTCACATAATATACTTGAATTTTATATATTTCGACAAAAATAATTAAACTTGTCAAATTACATATAAAAACAAAAATTATGGCATAAATATTATTGTTTTAACAAAAATAAAGTAAAATCTACTCTTTTTACAATTGTTTCATTTTCAAAAATCATTACATGATAACCTCATTATTTATATTATCAAATATTTTTTTTTCCATATATGTGACCAAAAAATAATAAATAAAACACACACACACAAAAACCTCCAATAAAAAAAAATGTAAACGATTCTTCAAATATCAATCTATGTCAAATTTCACTACACATACCAACAATAAATACTAACTGTTGATTAAATTGAATATGTTGTTAAATGTATAAGATATTCATTTTCCATAAGTCAATTTATAAGACACAAAAGATTTATTTTATGTGTTTTCTTTTAGTTCATTTGGGTCAATTTGTGAAACTCATAAATTTTATATTTCGTGATTTTACTAGGTTCGTAATTGTGATAACTCAAAAAATGTGGAAAAAATCTATATATACTACAAAAAGAAATTCAGCATTCAGTGGTGTCATGACACCACTGCTAATCCTGTGGTTCTACCCATGGTTGTGATGGTTGGTTAACGTCAATAAAGAGAGAATGATTGACCGAGCTGAGAAATGAGAGAAGAGAGAAATGGATGTGGAGATAGGATTACAGGTACTTTGGGGGGAGGAAAAGAGAGATTTGTATAGGGTGCCATTATCACCACCCTCTTTCTACCTTCTCCTCTCTCCCATCTTCTTCATTTCGTTCTTACTTTGACCATCACTGCCTCTCCAACTATCTTCAACATTTTCTTTTTCATGTCTGATCTTGGCAAAGATGATTGGTGGCTTAGGCTAGGGTTTTGTTTTTATTACAATAATATTTATAAAAAAATGCATGACATGACATCAACAAATGCCATTGCCTGTCAACAAGGCTTTAAAGTCATGAATCAATTAGTCGCTATTTTGTCAAACTAATGTGGCACACTATTATATTTGTTGGAAACATCAGTGCAGGTCAAAGTAATTTACCTATTTGAAAAAACAACAAAGCTACAATTCAAATGGCCTCTCAAGTTAACTTTAATTATCTCATAAAACAATCACACACTTCAATTTCCAATCACTAACTTTATTTTTTATCTTTTGATAACCCTATCTACTGGACATCTAAAAGCCTATCCCATTGTTAGTGTTTGCTGCTTCAATTAAATAATATATATATATATATATATTTTTGTCTCATGCTAATTTTAACGCATGCAACAAAGATCATAATAATAATATATTTATTTTGGTACACAAGATATTAATAAAAAAATAAAAAAAATAAAGCCATTGAAATAGGAGTTGGGTTTAATAATTGAGACCAATATTTTATGAGAAACATTACTTGTAAGGTTAGCTCACTCATTGGGTTGGCACCAATTCAGAGCCATTGGACCACATGAAGACAAACAACAACAGCATGATCAAATCGAGTTGTGATACCTCGTTTTTTTGTGAATAGATTAATTAATTAATAAAAAGTAATAATTTATTCATATATTAATTAATTGGTAAATGAAAGGGTTACATTCCATATAGTTACGTGCCAGGATGTCAAACACACACAAAGGTTGCTCAATCGCACAAAATCTTATTTCTTCTATTACATTTTGTCCCTTCTCTTGACATTTTGCTTTTGATAATGAGATAGATGGCTGGGTACGTAGCCATTTATCATCCGCAGAACAAGACAAAGTTAGTGCTTGTAATATGTATATGTATATATGACCTCCTCATATCTCTTATCCTCTATTAATGTGGTTAATAATAATATTACATGTTTTGAGCAATCAATAAAAATCTTTTAGAGTTTTTTTTTCTTAAAATTTTCTAGAGTGGTGAATTGTGTGGTTGAGATTTAATGATAAGTCACATCAATTTTTTAACATTAAATCTCAACCACACAATACGCCACTTTAAAAAATTAAAAAAAAAAAAACATTTTAGAAGATTCTTGGTGTTGAGGAATCCACTTTTAGATTATATGAGCATGACTATAGAGGCTTTAAGGTTGCCACGTAACCTCTAATATATCAAATTTATATTTGGAACAATGGTAAAGGATAGCAGCACAACATGCCTTCCTCTTGGACGGAATCAATAAGAAACTAGTTAGACTCTAGTGTGTGATTAATTATTCTGTTTTTTAAATTTTATATCAATTATGTGCCTAACGGATAGTAGTGGTTAAATAAATAAATAAATAACCTTAAAAATAAGAAAAAAGCGGATAAATTATAAAATATCATTGGATGGGCACACAAAATGTGGTGCTTTAAACATTTTAAATAATTTCTGCCAATTTTGGGATGTTTGAGCTTGGTTGTTTGAAAAATAGTCAATTTTGAGCCCGAACGGCGCTCAAGTGGAGTTTAAATGATTGAGCTCGAGTTTAGCTTGTCAAGATTTTGAAAAAATCGATTACACAAATGAGTCAAGCCCTAACAAGAGCTTGAATTAAAAATAGAACTTAAATTAACATGCACATTTAACTGCAAAATGAACAAAATTATTCAAGCTTGAAGTATATTGAGCTCATTAAAAGATATTGACTATTTTTATAAATAAACTAAGTTTGAATGCATTTTAAAAAATTTTAACTTTTTAAATAAAGATTGAACAACCTACCACTTAGCTCAATAAGAATATATACGCTATAAAATATCAAACTAATTGAGTTCGACTCATCAAAATTTCTTTTTGGTTTAACTCATTATGTAAAAAAGTTAGAGCTAATTGAGTTCGACTCATCAAAATTTCTTTTTTGTTTAACTCATTATGTAAAAAAGTTAGAGTTGAACATGTTTTGAAACTCGTTAAGCTTTTAAGACAAATTTGAATAACTTTTTGTTTTGATTGGCTTGTTTGCAGTCATGCACATTAATAAAAAATAAAAATAAATAAAGGAAGAATTACAAGTAAATTATAAAAGATTACTTATTGATAAGTTTTATAAATATGTAAATGTGTACAAACACAAAACATAAATAAAGAACGAAAATTAATTAAAAACATATTTGATATACTATTAAAAATA